GTGGTGGAAGCAAAACGGTTATTTTCTACTATAAAGATGTTCTTCTAGTGTCGAGGCTCTGTTTTTCAGTGTACTACTGAATGATAAAAGTGTTTGCAATCAACCAAAATTTACAATCACGATGATTGCGAGTGAGTAACATTATTTCCTGCTAGTATTTCATACAAAAAATTATTGCACTTTCACTTAGTTCTTGCAAACTTATTTATTTATCCCTCGTTTTTCATCGTTAGTAGTGTTTTAAGCCGCAAAACAAGCAGAAATTGGCTAGTCTATACTAATATATCTTTTGAAAGCCGTTTTTTTCTGTTCGCAAAGCTCGAGAAAGGCCATATTGTAATTATTTATTTTACCAGTGTAATTTAGTTAAATTTTCAAACAGATGGCAACCCTCCTCAAACATATTTTCGGCAGTAAGCCTTCTTAAAACTCTTTACACCCGATTTACATGATTCAAGTACTTGAAAACAATTCTTGCTCATTCTCTTAAGTGTTTTCTATTTGCTTTTACACGTTTCAATTCTAATTCAAGTTTTTGGTTCTTTAAATGGGAAGCAACGAAAATGCCAAAAGCAAAGCAAGAAAGTTGAAACGACTTGACGGTACAGACGCATGTGTACTCGTCCCTTTTCTTCTCACCCCCTCTCTTCCACATGCGAGCAAAATTGAATTCAATACTTGAACTGTGTAAAAGCAGTCTTAGTTTGACACCCACATGGCAATATTTCATTTATTTTATCAATTTGACTGAGTTAAAATTTTCAAATAGGTGGCAACCCTCGTCAAAAATACTTCCAACAGTTATCTTTCTTAAACCTCTTTAACTTGATACCCATATTGTAATAATTCATTAATTTTATCAATATAATTGGGTTTAAAAATTTTAAAATATGTGGTAACCCTCCAAATTTTTGCGATATCATTGGTTCTGGTATTATACCGAATAATAAAAAAAGAATATTCTAATCGGTTCAGCCGTTCTCGGGTTTTGATGACCGTGACATACGAACACAACATTTTTATATATTTATATAGATATACATAGAAGATGTCCAATGTGTGCTTTCGATTTTAATCTTTGACCACAACAAAAATTCCACATTGTACATTCGTGAATGAACTTTCAGTTTCTCGATTACTTTTACAATTCCTTTGAGTAATTAAAAAAACGAAAGTACTCTTACAATTCCAGGTAATGGAATTGAAAAAAAATCAATTACATTTTCAATTCCTTTCAAAGGAATTGGAAAAAAAATACATTACCAGCACGCATGGTACAAAAAAGAAGGTAGTTTCAACAACCAACTTTTTGATTAAAAAGCAGATTTTTGACAATTGCTCAATTGTTAAAAATTCGAAGCGGCGTTACCCAATTTAAGTTTTTTGGTAGAGGGGATTTTATATCATAAATTTGGGATTATGTATAAAATAGTTTTAATAACATTAACTGTTTAAAAGTAAGTATCTTAAAAATGTTTAAATTTTACACTTAATACGATTACCACTTCCCATTTAGGTTAATTAAATTTTAGTGAACATATGCATATGTATATGTAGGGGTTTTCAAAATTTTTTGTGTCTTTTTGTCATCTGATTATTTTACAATGTATCTAGCCAGGACCTTTACACGTCCATAAACCTAGCTGACCCA